AAATCTCTTTTAAGGGCTGCAAAGGATGGACTTCAAAGGCAGGAAAAGGGGCCGCAGTGCAGGTGAACAGGGAAGAAGGACGTGCAGTCAGGTTAAATTAGCCCTTCTGTTTGCAAGCAGAGAAGCTGAGTTCTGTCTGCCCCTTCAGATGTTTTGCTACAATAGCAAGGGTGAATATAAAATGGGACAAATCTCAGTTAAACGGAAAGTTTGGAGCTGAGCTGGTAGAAAGGCCAGATCCACCGGGGAGGAGGTGGACGGGGACACGTGGCTGGCATGTGTAGCTCCTCTGCTTGGAAAAAACAGTTTATGGAGGCAGAGGGTACCAATGCTGAGGCTGCACATATACAAACACTGATGTCCTTTTTATGTCCTAAATCAATGTCCAGTGGCAATAGAGTTAAAAGAGAATTTGAATTTTTGAAACAACACCTCAGCCTACAACTGTATTTCTTTTCTCATCTCCACCCAGATATTTAAAATAGTGGAGGAGAATGCAGGGTCGTTTGTTCCCTCTGTGACAACACTGATTTAATTCAGTTTGGTTTCCTTTTTTTTGTTATAGACTTGTACATTGTTGGAGAACGGGGTTTGGAGGATAGCACTGACATTTGCTTATTTTGGGTTCATCCTCAGGGCTTTAAATTATTCATTTTTCAGCAACCATCTTATCTGTGTTGGGATCAGTGTGTGAAAGGTTTAGGGGAAAAATGGGCTGAGCATTGTGCAAGAAACATCTGCAGCCTCTGTAGGAAAAAATGGAATGCATTTATTATGAGGAATGGAAGAATAGCTTGGAGTCTTGCTGCCTGCAGAGGTACAATATGGTCAAGAAGTTACTCTCCCAGTTTTTGATTCACCCAACCTTTCTCAGAATCTGGTGGCTAAAATGTCTGCCTTAAATACAAGTTCATGTGCTGCAAAACCCACATTATTTGTTGTGAACCTGCCTCCTTCTACCTTCATCCGAGGTTCCCTACCTCTCATGCTGGAAGAGAGAGGGGAGCAACATTCCCACCATTTATCCATTATGGGTTATTTTGTCTTCCCTCAGACACCTTTCTCCCAGCCTGAGGGTCCAGTCTATTTAACTGCTCCACAGATGGAAACTATTCCCTATCTTTGATCTTCTTTCTTTGAACCTTTTCCAAATCTGTCTTGGGGAAAGGTGGGTGGAAGTATGGGATGGACAGATGGAAGAAAGGCGACAGACCAAAGCTGGAGCATCCAAAATGTGGGTGTAAGAGGCTACAGTGTGGAATGATGGTCTCTGCTTTGTTCTTTAACCCTTCCCTAATAATTTTCAATTACTATTCTGTCGTCCTAAGCGTGGAGCTGATATTTTTATTTCTCTAAAATCATTCCAAAATCCTACTCCCAGGCTTATTAATTAGCCTGTATCCCATAACTTCATATAGAAATCGGTGAATCTTTGCTGCACTTTTATTTACCGATTTTTTCTGCCATCCTCCTGCCTTAGCACTCAGCCTTATAAGGTCTTCTGCTGTGCCATGAGGAGAATCTTGTAAATACCTCCTCCTTTCCTTTGTTTCTGCTGCGTGTAGGCAGCTTGGAGCAGCTGGAGTACAGCCTCTTTCTTGGGATAAAGCTATGGACAACCACTTACATCCTTCAGGCTCCGTTTCCCTGCCTGATAAGTCCTGGTCAGACATGGATGCTCTGTAGCTTTATCTTGACTAGGCAGTTGTCACAAATAATTGCAGGCAGAACAAAACGTTCCAATGAGAACTTTCTGTGCATAAATTAACAGGGAAAAGAAGTGAGAGGGCCCTTATAGCCCCATTGCCATGCACTGTTACAGCACTCAGAGCCACAGCTTTGCTTAGGGTTTGATCTTACAGTGAAACTGCTCTGCTGTGATTTTACATAAATTACTGCAGACTAATTCTCACTTTGGATGTTTTAAGCCTCTTCTGATCGTTGTTTCTGCTTGAAACAATGGCTCCAAAACTGAACATGCTAAAGGATTTTACACAGTTGGGGTAGCAACCAGAGCCATGAAGTAAAAATAATTAAATGTTTGGGGTTTTTTTATTTTTTAAGGTAAAACTTGTCGTCTACCACCCGTCCCCATTGTATCAGAATCACTGACATTTAGGCCAGAGAGCACATCTGGCTATACAAAGCACTTCTTATGAAGCTCTCTACGTTGACATGATGAACTCCCTAATTGGGTTGTTCCATTCCACCTGTTTTCATGGCTCCCAGTCTGTAGTATTTTTATGAATAGTTTATGCCGTGCCGTACTTATTAATATGCTCCCACAACCTAAATGGCACCATTATCTGGAAGGTTCAATTAAAAGGTAATCTAGTAGGAGGTAGGATTCCCAATTACTGAGTGTGGGAAAGACACCTATTCTGTTCCCACTGCCTTTCATCTCAGACATAATTGAATCGGTCTTTCTCCCAAATAAAATGTAGCTTTTTATCCCTGTGGGGGAAGGAGAGAGGTCATGGAGACCTGTGGAGACCACATATAATGATGTCTATTTTTACCTCCACTTTTCTTTTAAGGTACAATTAAATCTGTAGTACACTCAAACAGCAGACACTCTGTGCACTCCCTCGTAGGCAAGACAGAAAAATAAATTCTTTTCATCGCTATTTATTGTAATTGAAAAGCAATTTTTTTATTTCAGGTTCATTAACCAGGCCTTTACAAGTGCATTAGAAGTAAAAAAAAAAAAAAATTAATTTACATTTTATTTCTTACAAGTGTTTCACGTTGTAAATGGGTACCACCACTCTTTTAGAAAATGTCAGAACAATGTAAATCTGTAATTTAATATTCATAACTTAAAGCTCCAGATATAATTTTCAGGGACAACGATTGTGAATAGTGCCCGGGGTTTATTAGCAGTCTGCTTTTCTTCCAGGGAATAATAGTAACTGTAAAATCAAGTTCTTGAAACCAGAATATTTTCCATTAATGCTGGTAAATGAGTGGCACTAAAGAGTGAATTGGTTTTTCCCACTTCTTTTTTTTTCAGAAGACACAAAGCCAAAAAACTTTATCTCTTTGAGCCTTTTCAGTTTGACATATTAAGTGGCCACTAAGTGAGGGTACACACCTGTGTTACTCTCATTGCATCTCTTCATTATACCCAGATTGCTCCTTTGGAGATGGATTTGCAGGATTTCTGACAAAAATGCCCATGTTAAGGAACCTTATTTTGAAAAGAATAAAAACATCCACCTATCCACAGTGTTTTTCAAAAATATTTTTATGAAATATTAGTCTATCTCCATGTGATTGTTATTTTCACGGAAGAAAGTCTTGGACCACCCACCTTTTTTCTCTGCTAATTATTGGTTTGAGTGTGTGTATGGAGTAGTTCCTGGGCTTCTTTCCAAACCATATAAACTTTTTCCTTAAAAGATCTGAAAATGGGCATAATTTAAGATCACAAGGTGTTTTCCCCATTAAAATATTCCCAAGATTAGATCACAGTTTGGCAAAATAATCCAATTTTAATTTTTTCGGTTCGTTTTATAGGGAGCTTACAGACAGATTTCAGATTGGGGCACAATTCACTGGTGAGAGTGATGGACTTCAAGGCTCTTTTGCTGTTTTGAGACTGCACACAGTGTCAATAAAGATTTTATGAGATTTTAAATAAATTTAATGGTGTTTTATACCCTTAAAGTGAGAGAATAAGGCAAGAAATTTCACGGTCAAGATGCTTCTCATATCTCATCTCCTGGCTTGGCTTTTGGAATTGGAGCCCTGAAACAGTAGCTGGATTGTGTCACTGGCTGAAAGGAGCATGACTAGATATCCGGGATTTTAAAAAAGTATTTTATCTGTCATTCTGAAAGGAGATAAATTAGGAGGAGTCAGTTAATCCGTCACTGGTGGATGGTGACTATAGTAAGATCACAGTCACTGAATTCGTCTGTAACAGCTCATGGAAATATCAGAAAATGCAAGGTCTTGTCAAGAAAAAAGGAGAGGAGTTCAGAGTGCTGAAGGCCAGTTTACGATAGCTTGGTGTCTAGGAAAGTGGGAATACTTTCTTGAGTAACCTTGCAAACAAAGGCATTTGAATAGCCATTCATTAATACAGTAGAACTACTAGTTAAAGTTTAACCAGTCAGCCTAAGAATGCTGCGCAATATTTCATAGGAACAGTGCTTGAAATATTTACTTACTTATTGTTTCCTTACCATTAATAATAAAATACCCAAGAGGCTGTTTGCATTTCTCTCCTGTTAAACAAAGCGCACTAATTTGTAGATTTAAAAGGGTCATTTTTCCTGTCCAGAGCTACCAGACATTTCAGGGGTTTTTATATGGAGCAGCTTACCCCGATGTCAGGGTGAAATGAATATAGTTATGGGTGTGTTTCAGTGCAAGTTTCAGATTATTTATTTTATAAGCTTGTTGCTTTCTGCCTCATAAATCCAAAAGTTCATAGGTAGCTGGGTTTCCTCACCGAGGGCTGTGCTCTTTGCAGAGCACACATCTGGGCAGGTGAGATTGAGTTTCTAAATACGGGTATTGAAGTATTAGGTGTCAAAACAGAAGTGGCCTGATTTTTAGTGTTTACAAAGGTTTGTAGCACCACCGAGGCGAGCAGGGAAACCGGGGACCACCGAGCCTTCCAGTGCCAGGCTGGAGCTCCCAGCTGGCCAGGGAACTCTGCGGTCGGTGTAAACCGAGCTGACTGCAGACGCAATGATGGTTAATAGTGTAAAGGTGATGGTTAATGGTGTAAAGGCACACATCCCTCCTCTATCCTGCATGGCAAAGAGGGAGCAGACCGCGAACACAACCCCATCGGAGGGAACGGCATCCCTTAGCGTGAGGCTCTGGCACCACCTGCGGGCGACCCGACTGTCCACAACGAGGACAGTCCCGTTGTGGCTTCCCTCCGAGGCTCCCGGCGTGCGGACCGACGCGGCACAGAGCACGGCTGGACAGCGGGGCGCCCCTTCCCGTCCGGTACAGCCGCTTCCCAGCGCCCCGGGATCCCCGGACAAGCCGAGGGGCAGCTGACGGGGAGCGGCCATGTCGCGCCCCGCCCCGGCGCATGCGCGGCGCCACCCCGGGAAGATGGCGGAGGCCGAGGAGTGAGTGCGGCGGGAGGGAGGCAGGGAGGGAGGAAGGGATGGTAGGAAGGATCCACCGCCATCCGCGGGCACCACGCGGCACCGGGGCTGGGGGCGGCGGCAGGGCAGCCAGAGGGGACCGGATGGAGGATGTGGGGCCGGGATGTGACCGGGATGTCCCTCCGGCAGGCCGAGGCGGCGGATCCCGCTGGTGCCGGAGAACTTGCTGAAGAAGAGGAAGGCGTACCTGGCCATCAAGGCCACCCAGGCCAAGCAGGCGCTGCTCAACAAGCGCAAGGTACGGCGGGTCGCGGGGGTCGTGCTGGCCCTGCTTGTCCTCCGAAGGAGGGAATCGTGGTTCCCTGCGGTCGTACGGAAGTGATCCCAGGGATCGGCCCCCTGAGCCAGGGGTTATCTCCGAGGGGAGCTTTTCGCTCCCTGGGCATCTTCTCTCCCCGTGTCTCTGAGCCCCGTAAAAAGGACAAGGCTTTCTGGCTGGTTGCAGTGGAACAGAAATGTATTGAAGAGTGCGAGTTGTTCCTCTTGGAACCTGGTGGGTTGTGTCTTGGCCTGGTGGGGTGTGTTTACAGCCACACGTGGGGGACTGCAACGCTGCTGAGTTGTCTGTGCTCTCTGAAACCGGTTCACCTTTGTAACCCTTCATGAAAACAGTGCTTTTCTGAGGGTGCAGTTAGAGTTAACTTATTTATAAATCTGTTGGAGCAGAGACAGGTCATCGTGAAGCCTTTTTCTGCGTGTGGGGTGGCACATGTTGCTAATACAGGCACTCCCGGTGCACAGGGTGTCATTTCCAGACTGGCAGAGCACAGCAAACCTTTCTAATTCCGAATTTGGGTCCTGTTCTGCTGTGCCTCAGCTAATACAGTACGCGCCTGTCTTAAAAGTGTTTTAAAGCTTTCCCAGTGAAGCCCATTTCTGTGGGATTGTGTACAAAACTGCCATTTTTGTTGGATGCTGTGTTTAATGTTTTTAAACACATCAGTGGCTTGCTGTATTTTCAAGGTGGAGGTGGAAGCATGAGCAGTAATGTTAAATAGCCACTCCTTAAGATTTTCATTAGAAAAATGACCTTAGTGATGAGGTTTCGATTAGGTCTGCCTGCTGTGAAAATTCAAACCAATTTCATGGGTGATTTACAAGGTAAAATGCAAGATACATAACATTAGATTCTATAATTTAAAATGACTTAATAATTTAACTCGTAGTGTTATCTTAAGTATTACTGTGTAACTGCCATGCATATTCAAGTCCTGTTTGTATGAGAAAGCACTATATTTAGTGGATATACTCACTCCTAAGCTAAGGACAAGAAGTATCCTGGGTGTTGCTGTTTTCCCTAATTTATATTTTTCATGGGGAAAAACTCTTTAGTTTACTATTCGTAAATTATATCTAGCTGCCTCTAAATTCATGTGTTGCCCCTCAGTTGTGTTTCCCTTGGGCTTAGATAATCAAATTTATTTTCTTCTTACTGCTTCCTAAGCCGAAGGAACGTTGTTCCTCAAGTCCTGCATTTCATTTGGCCTGTCAGATGCAAACCTCTGAGACCGTTGGGGTGGGTGATACTTTCTTTTCCTTTTCACTGTAGCAGCAGAAGGGGAAACAAATCCAGTTCAGACGCCTTGAGACTTTCGTTCGGGATTCGTGGCGCAAACGCCGCGATGACAGCCGGCTGAGGCGCATGGAGCAGAGACCTGGGCAGGCGGCGGCACCTCGGGAGCACAAACTGGCCTTCGTTGTGCGGATCGTGGAGTAAGAAACTCCTCCTACTCCTTACCTTCATTGTTGCTGCCTTTTGTTGTGTTATTTCTATGCAAATGAAGTGTGATCATCGCACTAATCTGAGGCCTTTTGTTGCTGCTGTTTTCACTGACTTCAGTATTAAGGGAGTGACCAGGAGGGTAAAAAGAGTGATGGAGTTGCTGCGGCTGAGAAAGAATTTCACCGGGATATTTGTTAAACTGACCCCGTTAACCCTGAAGTTGCTGCGGGTCGTGGACCCTTACGTGGCGTGGGGGTAAGTACCACTCCTGTGGCTTGGTGGTGGTTTGTATGGGAATGTTACTGCCTTTTGGTTCTCCATTTGGTATCACAGATCCATAGCTGGTCAAAGCTTAACCAAATTTATATCTAAAACTTGTTATTGTCTCTCTTCTTCTTGTCCTCAACATAACTTGGTTGCTTTCCCAAGAAGGAAGGGGCTTCCCACTGCATTGTGTCTCTCCACTACAGAACCCGATTTTTGTTTTTGTACAGACACCCAAACCTGAAATCTGTACGAGAGCTCATCCTGAAACGGGGCCAGGCCAAGATCAATAAGAAGAGGATGCCTCTGACAGACAATATGCTGATAGAGGAACATTTAGGTAAGGAAAAGGCTGAGAAAATTGAGGAAGAAGTTGAGAGTTTACAGTCTGACCTGAGAGTGTGGGGAGGGAGAAAAATCTTACCAGACTGGAGGGCTGGCGGTCTGGAGCAGTGTGAGGAGAGATAATACAGTCAGCCATTGCTTTTTTTTTTTTTTTAATTTTTATTTTTCTGCAGGGGGCTGTGGTATTATTTGCCTGGAAGACCTTATTCATGAAATCTACTCAACTGGGAGGTATTTCAGTAAAGTCACAAAGTTTCTGTGGCCATTCCACCTGTCAGTGGCTCGCCACGCGTCACGTAACAGAGTGGGTTTCCTCAAGGAAATGGGAAAGCCTGGCTACAGAGGGGAAGCCATCAACCAGCTCATACGTCAGCTCAACTAGTCAGGTGGACTAGTCAGGTGAGCGCTGCCTGTTGGGTGAATTCCAAACCTTACCCTTTACTCCCTTTCCTAATAACCATACTGCCATTGGACACGAGGGGTGTCCCTTGTTTTTGATTTGTCACTCTAAAATAAAGTGACCCTCGGAGTAGGGGAAACCAGTGAGCAGTGTTGGTCCCATGAGGAATCAGCACATCCTGCTGGACACCTCCATGAAGTTTTGTGTTAATATGACTGACTGGTTTTTTATTTTCTCTCCTGTTCTGCAGGGTCTTTGTGAAAACTTTGGGATTTATAACCTGTTCCTTTTCACATGTACCTCTAATGGACATTATCTGTATGCAAGGATCTCTCTTGACTGTTGGTGCCTCTATAAAAAGAAGAAACACAGAGATGATGATGGAGATGGACTTTGGGCTGGTCCTTCTTACAAGAAGATATATACTATTGGATACAAGAATGAGCTTCCTTGAGAAATTTGACTTTCGCGTCTCTGTTAAACAAGGTTTTTTATGCTCACTACTGCAGACTTCACTCCTTGAAGTGCACCTGCTTCTGGGTGTGAAGGGGTAGTGCAGTCACCTGTTTAAGAGTAGGCAGCACAGGCAGAAGAAAACATCAGGTTTCTCTGTTACTGCAGTGCCAGCCCTTATAGTGAATAATGTAATTTTTTAATTACCTAGATTGTATTTATTTGAAAAAAAGAAAAGACATGGTTTTGTGCTACCGATTTTACAGAATCACTTTTCACTTCTGCTAGATTGGGACTGCTGGAGAGAATTATTTCCTGGTAGGAAAGCCCAGAAGGTTTGTAATACAGTGGTGGGGTACACGTAGTCAATGTTTTTTAAAGAAACTTCTGGAATTACATTATTATAACAGAAAGAGTCCTGCATCACTGTAAAAGAGTGGAAAAAGTCCAGTACTCTGGCTGAAAGGAATTTGGTGAAGGAACAAACAAAAACGTGGAAGAGTCCAAAAGTTCCATTAACAGTTTTAAATCCCTAATTTCTTCCACTGCAAAAGTGGATAAGAACACATGAAGCGGCCTGTGATGTCTAACAAATATGGAAGGTACTGTGCTTAATCATTAGGCCACTGTGACTATTTACACTGTTATTTGAAGACTTAAATGGGGGCAAACTATTAGTCCATAAATAGATTTCATATTGACTGCACAGGACTTGTTTCGAGACTCATAGGAAATGAAACAAGTAGGATGCCTTCAGGGTGTTCACTGTATTACAGAATTCATAAAACCATCTGAAATACAAAGTACTGCAGACTCTGAATTAGAGAATACTATAAAATTTGAAGCTTTATTCTATAAAACAAGAATACAAACATAGAAAATGCTTGACAGACACTACAGACAGACAGAACAACACTGTCCCCAGAACTAGAGCCCAGCTGTCATTAAAATACAAGGCTTCATGTATTTTAAAGTTTCCTGATAAACAGCTGCTTTCACTGTACAAAAGGTACAAGAATTGTGTGGTTGATTCTTTTTAGGGTTATTTCTGGTAATAAAACAGCCCAAGCTTTTAACATGAAAACTGGCACCTCAGGAGTGAGATTTGTTTTTTAGTTGCCAGAGAGAACTTAAGCCTGCTAAAAGCATACATCTTAATATAATCTTAAAATGCAAAATTATAGGAACTGAGCACAATTTCAGCAGCTAATCCTATATTTCGGCAGTTTTTCTAATGAAGGCAGTGGTTTAACACACCATTAGTTTAGCTTATGTAGTAAAGTAAGAATTGAACTATTACCATGATGCCAGCCTAGTCTAGTGTTCTATCACATTATCACAAGCACGTTGAATTTTTTTGTGTCATACTTCAGCAAGAGCAGTGGTAATGGTGTGGTCGTGGCTCAGCTGCACTATAGACAGAAACTATACAAGGTTACAGGATATGTACACACACACACAAGCCCCATCCCTGTATCCTAGGGAACAGAATCCCTTTTGTAAGCCACCATAGTGTTCACTTTGTGGATCGTGGTGGTGAAGGAACGCAGACGAACCTCTTCGGAATTGGTAATGAACTGTGGTCCTGACTCTTCCCACTTTTCTGGCACTGCCAGATCTTTATCTGTATATATCAGCAAGTCAAAGGCACCTGTAAGCAAATGGCAACAAACTAATTAATAGTAATACACACATAAGGAGATGGCAGGTTTGAAGTGCATCTTCTAGAACTTGAAACGTACCAATGTTCTAAGAATACACTGATACTGGTTATATGAAGAAAGAGAGTATTTAAAACATGAAAACAAGTTATATTCATCTGAGGACACTTCAGTTTCCTCAAGTGTCGTGAATTTTTTTAAACACCTTAAAATGCTGTGGAGCTGAGCTCTGTGTAACACTTCATATGAACTCAAGAGTTACACAAGCCAGTCCACAGCTAGTCACAAATCATGAAGACTCAGAGCACAAATACTAGTTTCTTTAAGTTAGTTAAACAACCCCAAATTCTGTCCTGATCTCAGTCTAACAAAGTGCTGTCTCAGAAACGTGATGGTACATGACATATAATAATCAAAAAGCCTCAGAAAAATCAGCAGAAAAATATTTTCTAAAATGGAAAAGCTGTTGAGGCTTTCCAAAAGTGTTTGTTTTCTTTAGTGAAGTTCAGAACACTTACAGGCAGATTCCAGCAGCGGCAGGAAAGTTACTGTGGCAGTTATTTGTCTGATGACAGAGCGAATTTCATCCTGAATTGCTTTCTGAGACTTTTCTCGGGGTCCGCTGGAAAAACAAGAAAACTCTGGTAAGAAAAAAAACTTCTACTGTGGTGACAGTTTCCTCTAAATACAGTTCTCTCTATTAAGCTCTGTTGGTCTGTTTGCTACAGTATGTTTATGGTAGTGCCACTTTTAAACCCTAGGTAGATAGACTTCTCTAAGTCTATAGCTGGTCTCCCTTTATTGTTGTTTATGAAGCTTCCAGTATTTTTAAGTAATGTTAAATTTATTCTCAGTCTGAAACGGAAGAGAACACTTTGGCATGACAAAAAGAAAGCAGCAGTTCTTTGGGTTACGTACCCAAATGTACAAGACTTTATATGCTTTGTTGAAGATTAAAAATCAAGTTTTGATCTGATGCTTAAAAAAAAATAAGTACCTGACGATTATGTATGGTTTGATCATACAAGGACTAAGAAAGGAGGAACAGATGAAGGAACAATTACATGGCGTTGATGTTGTGCCTGCACAGCTCCTCGAGATAGGGAAGAGCAGGTGTGGAGGGGCTGTGCTACTCACTTGTCATCCTTTGCAGTTTTGTCACACTCGATGTCGAACTGCCACCGCTCCAGGACCTCGTTGTTCTCGATGCTGGAGATGACGACCACCAGGCGCTGCACAATGCACTTGTACAGCCACTCTGAAAGAAGCCAAGCGGTCACTTACAGAGCGAGAAGGGCCAGCACAGACACCAGGGAGGGCCCGGGAGGCTCCCCCGCACCTTTCATCTGCTCCGTCACGTTGTTGAGGTAGTTGGTCAGCTCGGAGTCGGTGGTGACCAGGAGAGTGAGCCCGTACTTCTGCACGCGGGTGAAGGTCTCGGGGGGGTAGATGCCGCGCTGGTATAGGATGCTGTTGATTCCATAGGCTGCGAGAGGGAAAGGGAGAAGAAGAGGGAGAGAAATAGCGAGAGGAAGAGGGATGTGTACCACCGCCCCACCCCGCCGGCGGCCATGTCTCCCCACCAGACGCGGCCTCCCAGCCCTCCCCCCAGGCTCCCTCCCTCCTTCCCTCTCTCCCACCGCGGCCCTCAAGGCGACCCGCTCCCCCGCAGCCCCTCACAGAAGAACTCGGCGACGAGCTCGGCGCTGCCGCGCAGGGTGATGCCCTGGTGCTCCCGGCCGAGCTGGTTCTGCGCCATGGCCGCCGCCGCTTCCCCGCCGCCCGGTTCGAATCGGGCCCCGCCCCTTCCCGCCGCCCCGCCCCTTCCCCCCGCGCGCGGCCGCGCCGGGGCTGAGGGGAGCGCGCGCCGCCTCACGCCAGCTCTACCCTCAGGGAAAGGGGAGCGCGGCGCCCTTATCCGTGGGGGAAAAAAAAAAAGGGCTGCGGCGTGTTACAAAGGGAAGGTTTTCCCTCACGTTAAACTCCCCGCCGGCTATAGGTGCCGTTGCACCTGTTGGGAGGGGCCTGAGGGCACCGCACAGCGCGGGGTGGGGCGAGCGAGGGGCTTCGCCCCGGGAATGCCGTGGGAAGTCCGCTTTCGGAGTTCCTTTAGGTGCGTTCCACCGTACGAAAGCGCTTTTGAACTTAAAAATTACACTTTCCAGGTACGAACTGAGTTAAGTAAATAGATCGTTTATGGGTGATTTTAATTTTTTTTTTGTTTTGTTTTGGTGATGGTGGTCACTATGTAAATCGTGTAGTAGTATCCGAAATAAAAATGGTATATTCTGCAAAAAACACTGTGAAAAGGCAGGCGGGGAGAACCTGACAAAGCAGGATGAAACGCAATTTTTTTTCCTTAAATCCGTCGTAACACCAGAAGAAAGGGTTTAAGGGGCATTTGGGCTGCTGGGCTGCCTTAGGGAAGGGAAATTCCCAGTGGGTCAAACAACTTAAATCCTGTTACTACAGGGACACCAGGGAAGCAGCTGAGGTTGGCAGTGGCTGTCAACTGGAGGAAGCTCTGGGAGAGGTTCACAGGTAAGAGAGACTGACTAAACCAACAATGAGTGTTGAAGTTTTTAAATAGAATGAAGGGGGGAAGTTGCTGTCTACTGGGATAGTAAGTAGGTGGCAGTGTGGACCCTGAAAGAAGCAAATCAAACAGTCTTAAAATGAAGTTATGTTCAAACCAGAAATATTTATACTGAGGACGAAAACCATGTGGTGTGATTGCTTATTTTGTTGTAATAAAACAGGTTTTTTTCAAGAGCTAAGGCTTTTTCTTGGCTCCAGCTTTTGCTCCAAGAGGAAATATGGTTTGCTTCAAGGTTCATGCTGCTGTGATTAAAGCAAATGGTATAGTCCTGAAGTCATGTGTTGAAGTTCTGAAAGGGTCTGAATAATTTAATTTAACCAAGAGAACTTTATTCTGGGTCTTGATCACTAGTGATTGTGTTATACCTAAGTCTTCTGAATAAAATATTTCTGAGTAAGAGTGGTGTGTTTCAAAGCCGGGGGAATGGAAGAATTTTTCATCCAAAGCCCAGCTTTTAGAAGTTAGATAGCTGTGAATATCATCTGTTTTGCTTCAAATCTTATGTACTCTTCTGCTCTTATTCATGTATCCAAAATGGTCTCGACCCTCTTTTTTTTTTTTTTCCTCCACTTGGCTTTTCATCCATTTTGCTTCCTCTGAGGTTTTTGGAGAGCTGCTCGTTTTTGTGATAAATAAAAGAGCTTGAAAGCCATGTTACAGGAGGCCAGGCAAGAATAGTAGAGCTTTTGATTAATACTTCACATATTTTTGCTCTGGCTGTTTTACTGTTAAAACCAAATGGAAGAAAGAAATCCAGGTGGTTCTTGGTTCACCCAGTTGATTTCCCTGTGTTTCAGTTTGGGTGGCTTGCAGGTGTGTTGTGGGTATGACCAGGTGCATGTGCTTATCAACAGCAGACTTAATTGCATCTTCATTACTTCTCCCAAGATTCACCTGGCAGGTAGTGAGAGGTGGTGGTGATCCTCAGTACCTCTGTTCAAATCCTAACCTTCCTGCACCTGGCACACAGTATTTCAGAGTTTCGGATCACTTCTCTGTCCCCAGTTCTGTACTCTGGTTAGCACTGGTTTCTGCCCTCATATACTCCCCTCTCCCCCCAAAAAAACCCCGACACCTTTGCACTTTTAATGTTTCTGTCTCTTTAGGGAAATAAATTCCCTTTTGCAGTGCATTACTGATTTTCTTTACGTTT